CTATTTCGGTAGTTAGGTGTTGCTATTTCGGTAGTTAGGTGTTGCTATTTCGGTAGTTAGGTGTTGCTATTTCGGTAGTTAGGTGTTGCTATTTCGGTAGTTAGGTGTTGCTATTTCGGTAGTTAGGTGTTGCTATTTCGGTAGTTAGGTGTTGCTATTTCGGTAGTTAGGTGTTGCTACTTTGGTAGTTAGGTGTTGCTACTTTGGTAGTTAGGTGTTGCTACTTCGGTAGTTAGGTGTTGCTACTTCGGTAGTTAGGTGTTGCTACTTCGGTAGTTAGGTGTTGCTACTTCGGTAGTTAGGTGTTGCTACTTCGGGAGTTAGGTGTTGCTACTTCGGTAGTTAGGTGTTGCTACTTCGGTAGTTAGGTGTTGCTACTTCGGTAGTTAGGTGTTGCTACTTCGGTAGTTAGGTGTTGCTATTCGGTAGTTAGTGTTGCTATTCGGTAGTTAGGTGTTGCTATTTCAGTAGTTAAGTGTTGCTACTTCGGTAGTTAAGTGTTGCTACTTCAGTAGTTAAGTGTTCAAGAGTTGTTAGGAAAATGAAAGTATTTCATTTGGAATCATTTCCTTGGGAAAGTGAGGCCTAACCTCAGTTCTAAGATGATTGCAGGACACCTGTTAAGTTCATTAAATATGAGAGATAAAATTCATCTCTAAGTTTTTATTGATGATTCTCTTGCTTGTTAACTTTTTATCAAAACTTTTTTTTTATACAGAATTTCTCATTTTTAAGATACAAGTTTCTGATTAGTGTGTAACTTGGGCTTTATGGTTCAGGAAATACATTTTAGAGATATAGGTAACAACAAAATTCTGGACTGAAAGATGTCTGGTTGAAAAAATTCACTGTGTTTGCATATTTGCAAAAACTCAATTTGTGAAATTATTTCTACAGGTGTTGGGAACTTGGGTACAGGACCAGGAGTCATCTCAGCTGATGGGTTTCACTCCTACTCAGGAAACATGGGTCGTCCTAATCGTGCTAATATGAATAATTCTGGTAAGTGTACAAGTTGTATGTAGAAAGTTGAATCTGTTGATAAAGATTTCTATCAACTCTCTCAACACGAGGTAGATCAATCTGACTGAGTCATGTGACCCTTAGTACTTGTTTAAAGTTGATATAAGTTTAATACTTATAACTCTCTATATATCGGGTATATCTTCACGAAATTTGGCAGTCTTTCAGTTAATATTACAAGTCTTTCACATACAAAAAGTCATATTTCTTAGTGAAGTATCTCTAATAAAATAAAAAATAGTTTTGTCCATGAATAATACACCAAAGAATATAGACTAATAACATGCAAAAAGTAGACAAATTCACTTACTTATACAAATTTTCCTGGCTTTCTAACTATGCGACAAAAGGCGTTACAAATTCATCCAAACTAGTCGTTAACTTTCCCATGGGAATGATGTTGCTACTCCGAGTGAAATTGACGGTTATATGTTCAGAACACAGCATTATACAATACACCATTTGGTAGATGAAAACCTTGACTTTCTATTGGTTATAGGTAATATATAATTAAATGTAAGAGAGAACTATCAACGAATTGTGGAAGATAGGATGTGACAAGTGGGTGTGATGGGAGGGGTCTGATTTTCTATTCAATAGTTCTGTAACCAAACAAAATTGAAGGCTATAAAAATTATGGTCTGTTTGGGCAATAATGATTTTATAGTGTATTTTACGTTTAATTTCGTATATTTTCAAGGGGTGATGGATCAAATAGGGATGATGACATGCTAAGACAAAATGTGTCACGTGTGTTGCACTAGTGGAAATTCAGGATCTTTTTATATATTTCCTTGTAGAATTAAGAACTTAAAACTTGTATACTTTTAAAGTATGGATTATTAGCTGAGATTTTATGCTATTCTAATTGGTATAACATAAACAAAAAGTAGTTTAATAAAATTTTGAATGTAAGACAAACTTTGTGTCATGTGCAGTAAAGTGTACCCCGGCCGATAGGGTTAATTCAGAAGTTGTATTGTATCCTGTTTCTGTCAAGTCTTGCTCTACACTTTGGGATCAAGAATGCATTGTAAGAGTGACATTTGGAACCCACTATTTGATTAGAGTAGCTCAAGAAGTGGGTTCTTCTGACTAGCTGTCTTCTTTCTAACCTGTCTGTTCAAAATTAGGGACAGTTAGGTTAATAAATAGCCCTTGTGTTGCTTTCTGCACATTTACAAAACAAGGAAACAATTCACGAGTTAAGACTTTTCAGTAGGTGTTTACTCAGTTTTTTTATTCAACCCTTAGCAGTTAAAATGTAATAGGAATGTGTTTCTGTAGATGTAGTTATCAGCTATATTGTAAACAAGAATGGACAGCCAGATGCAAAAGTTAAATATTTGTTGGTTTTAGCGAATGTTTCACTGCTAAGTAACACTGTGTCATAGGGCTGAAACGAATATTATAAGTAGTGCTTTGAAGCTTCTTGCAAGATAACTACTGAAGCTTCTTACAATTGAGTATACTTGTCATATTATAACAATGTATGTATTTAATTTGTTACAGTTTGATTCTACATGAGTTTGACCTTCAGGTATTTGACCTGTCAAAGTTTAATATGACTGGACAGCAGTTGTGTAGTCTGAGCAAGGAAGATTTCCTAGAGTTTGATTACAGGCCTTCTGGAATCTGGAAGCTTTTATTTAGTAGCATTACATAGTATTGTCACTTATAAACACTGCTTCTTCACTTAGCCTTTCTTTCAGATGTTGTTTGCAATGTTTAAGGTTGATATCAGCGGTAAATTGTTTTCTGCTTGGTAAAACATATCCCAGCTCCAAGTACTTCATTAAGTTACAAAAACCATCGCATTCAACAGTTTGAATGGGGCGTAGGTATTGAACGATTATTTGAGTCACTCTGTCTGTTATATTCTTTGCACGTGTATCATTGCACTTCGCAGGCCTTACAAATCCATCAAGGGTAGGCGTCTTCCTGTTCTCTGTTGTGGTTGTCTCGATGTCTGGACAGTAAAGAGTCAAGTGCTTCGACGCGAGGTGATTCTGTAGGTTTGTTGTCCCGCCTAAATAGGCAAATTCTTTTTTACAAATAGTGCACATGGCTTTCCCACGGTCGTGAAGTTTCTTATAAAAACTCCATATGTCTGAAACCTTTTTACAACTACTTCCAACCGTGCCCTTATCTGATGCCATTTTTTCTAATCAAAAATTGTATGCATAGCACATGCGTATAAATAAACGTGCGAACATTCGAATGGGCACTGGCAGATCCAAAGCCTCTGTCAGCTTCGAAGCTTCAGAATATTCGAATACTTTGTCTCAGCCCTACTGTGTCATAGGGTATCTCAGTTTGAAATGGAACTCGGTGGTGTGACAGCCAACAGGATCTCATGTTTGCAAGTTTTGATTGTTTTTCAGAAATCGAGAGATGGTGATAAGTAGCCATCTCAAGAATTGACTGTAGTACACTATGGACTGCTGATGCAAATGGTAGAATTGTATACCTAATTTTAAATTCAAAAGAACTAGCCTATGGTACTTTGTGGGATGTATATGCTTTTAAATTTTTATTCTCATCATTCAGACTTTTGTCATTACATTCCTAGTTACTTATTCTGATTGAAAGTGAAATAATAATTACTTGGTTTCATTATTAAATTCAAAAAAGAAAATATTAGAAGTTACAAAACATTAACCCTTTTCTGCCCCTCTATCATGTGTGAGTTTTAAAGAACACTGTCTAATCTCTCATATTACCTAAAATATAACATCATGAGTGAAATATTCAGATTTTCAAATTTTATTTTGGTGTATATTTCATTAATATTTGTTTTGATAAAGTAATAAAAAATACAGTCTGTTAACCCTAATTTCAATCCCCCCCAACCATAAGTGTAACTTTTATTTTGGTAGTGGGAATACTTAAACCTCCAGCTTCCATTCATAAAATTTATCAACATGCATAAGTACGGCTGAAAAGTATCCAGTATTTTTTATAAGTTTCTCCTTATGCCTAACTTAAATGTTTGAAAACAATGAATTTTTGAAATTGGTTGTGTGAAATGCTATAAACTATTGAACTTCCATAGCTAACGTAATTATACTGTTAAAAACCTGGGATTATTTTCTTCCTTACTGACTAGTTAGCATAAACTCCCTTTCTTTCTTGTACGAGTTATAAGTTTCTGAATTTTTTAGTCATTATGCTAGAAGTCTTCAAATAATCTAAGTATATCATGAGTTTTGTTTTTTTGTATGCAAAGTCAAGTTAATAAGTGTATTCTTTATTTTAGTCAAGTAATTAATTTGGCAGTTGTTTTAGGTTTTACAAAATCTCCCACTGGTGATGTGAAATCACAAGCCTCTTACAATGAACTTAGAGATTAGAGGTGGCTCTTATGTTTCTTAAAGAACTATATAAAATTTCTAAAGGCGTACAAAGGGAACTTTTAAAGTGGCTATAGTGTGATTACTATTATTTATCTATATTCGTTTTAATGATGGTTATATGTTTATTGCAAATTTTTTAACAAAGTTGGTTAGGCTTGTGATTGAATTATTGTTAATAAGCATGTGTACAACCTGCCCTTTCTGTCAGTGGTTGTGGATGTTGTGCATTACAATGCTGTAAGCATTCACCTATTAGTTTTTATTTCATTATGAATTGTAAAATTACCAAAACAATATACTTTTGGTATATGTTCGAAGAGTTGTGAATATGAATGCAGGCTGAAAAGGGTTAAAAATAAGCATTTTATCATAAAAGTGGCTTTCACCATTTTTGATTCTGTAGTTTGTAGAAAAAGAATTCTGATAAAAATAGTTAAGTCCACATTGGTTTCAGAACAGTATAATTGTGTGCTATTGATTAAATGTAACAACTGTTTTTTTTTATTAGAATTAGTTATTCTGATCTAATACCTGTTAGGACTTTTTTGTTATGCAGTGGTCATTATTCTTGAAGAGTTGAGTGGAAAATGAAAATATTTACATCTGAATTCAATTCTTTCATAAAGTAAGATGTAAGTTCAGGTCTTAGAGGATAATAGGAATCTTATTTCTTAACAGAATTACTGTTATTTATATTTGGCAGAACATAATTCATCACTAAATTTCTTATTGGTGATTTTTTGCTTGTTACTTTTTCCCCAAGAATTTGAAGTTTATTATTTTCAAAATGCTTGTAGGATAAAATGTAATGCTTAAACATTTTTAGGGATGCTGATTTTATTTGGTAGGTTTTATGGAATATACTTTGTCTAATTCAGCAGGTTTTCTAGGTGTTGTGGGCTCCTCTCATCCATTTTTTGGCCAGAACCGGCCTAATCAACCACCACAAAACAGAGATCGAGATCAAGACTTATTCCCTGCCTTTCAACAGCGACAACAGAATCAAAACCAGACTTCGGGTGGCTTTAGTGGGTCTGGAAGCAACAGAGAACTGCCACCTCGTTTCTTAAAGAAAGCTCTTCAGCAACAGCCAGGAAGTGCTGATGAGGTTGGTAGATCTGTACTCCAGGCTTTACAACTGTCGTAACAGATAACAAAGTTCATTGCAGACATTTTGCTCATAGGAGCATTTAATGTTCTGTTAAGTTTGTCGTTGTTTTCCCTGTTGTTGGTGTTATGGTGTGAAATATTCCTGCTAATGAAAACAACTTTGAAGTATTTTTACTATGTATAATGCATTTCTGGTAACAAGATGCTTTAGAAGTTTACATTATTAAATGGTGTTTTTATTTCTTTTTAAAAATTTTGTTACCTATTGATTAGTCTCTAAACAAATCGGTCACCATAAAATTCTTAGAAAGAAGTATTAAAAAATATTTATATCGATGTACAAAAAGTTATACTGCAACAAGCTTGAATTAATATATATATATATGTGTGTATTGTCAAAATGTTTAATCCTCAACCGGATCATTGGTAAGTTTGCCTTTTAGTATCGCAAACTTACCAATGATCCAGTTACACAATACACTGTCCACCAAGGGGAATCAATCTTCAGCTTTTAGTATCGCAAACTTACCAATGATCCAGTTACACAATACACTGTCCACCAAGGGGAATCAATCTTCAGCTTTTAGTATCGGTGAAGATTGATTCCCCTTGGTGGACAGTGTATTGTGTAGCTGGATCATTGGTAAGTTTGCAATACTAAAAGCTGAAGATTGATTCCCCTTGGTGGACAGTGTATTGTGTAGCTGGATCATTGGTAAGTTTGCGATACTAAAAGGTGAAGATTGATTCCCTTGGTGGACAGTGTATTGTGTAACTGGATCATTGGTAAGTTTGCGATACTGAAAGCTGAAGATTGATTCCCTTGGTGGACAGTGTATTGTGTAACTGGATCATTGGTAAGTTTGCGATACTAAAAGCTGAAGATTGATTCCCCTTGGTGGACAGTGTATTGTGTAGCTTTACACTTGAAAAAAAGAATAACAGAATATGGAAGAAACTTAGTAGTACATTTGACATACATTTGTGCTTTTTGAATTTGTTTTTTGTATGAATTCGTTTTTGTGCAAAGAAAAATGTAGCATACAGGAAAAAATGTTTTATTATGTGTTGTTGTTTTTTTTACCTTGCCATGATTGAACATATACTGAAGATTTTGAGTGAAAGCTGTGATTATACTTCTCAAATATACGTTCCAACAGGAATTAATTGCATGCCGTGTCAGATCAACGTTGGTAGTATTGTGTATTTTTGTGTTTATTTTGTTTACATTTGTACATAATGTTTAGTTAAATATTTCACAACAATTACAATAGCATACAATCCAATGACAAGTATACGAAAAATGTATTTTATTACAGATAAGTTTACGACCAGCACAAAATTCCATGGTTTTAAAACCTAAAGCATCACCTACAAATAGTCTTATGAAAGGACAGAGCCGTTCATCCTCGGCTCCTCAACCAGGAAATGGACCCACAAGTGCTCTAGTGCGAGAACTTTCTCCAAATTCTGGACTCGTGCAAAAACCAACTACTACAAACCCATTGCATCCTAAAGAGGTGAGAATTGTTAAATGTACTTTAACCCTATCACGACGGGCCACGTGTCCAAAGCCATGGCATCTTGTTTGTTGACTCGCATTTAAAATTTTATTGAACTACTCTTTCATGAATTTATGTCAATAACTTTGGTACCAAACTGTAGATTATGATTCAAATTTTAGTATTATATGTTAGTTAATTTCTTAATTTAAAAGTAAATAAAAAAACAGCTAAACATTGATTTTTGTGTGTTACGTGGTATGTTGAATACAGCACTGGTTCATATTAGATGTATGTGATGTCAAAATACACAGTCTATAATTTTGTACAAATTAGGAACTGAAATTACCGATATTGACAAGCTAGAACAAGGGTCTCCAAACTATGGCCCACCAACAGTTTATTAAAGTAATAATATAATTTTTTTAATATTATAAAAATAAAACATAATTGAGCAAAAGCTAGTCTGATCATGCATGTATCCCTACTTAATTTTACCACTACCCCTCCAGCCCACGAAGCCTAAGATGATCTACCTCTCAGCCCTTGTCTAAAAAGGTTTGGAGACCCCTGAGCTAGTATATAAAATAAGAACCTCTTTATCTTTTCTATATGCTAAGATATTGCTCATGAACTGAATCAAACACAGTGGTCCTCTGCCTCACTTCTTTGCATTTTTGGAAATGCTCCCTTATGTACACTTACTTCTATATATAACATGAATAACCAATCGAAAGTTAAGAATGTTCCCCTAGTGGTTTTCTCAGCCATTTTGACATGTTATTGTGTTAATCTTGTTCTTTTCTCACAAGATTTCAAACAATAAAGTAATACTTTAGTGAGCTTGAAATTTCATGTTTTTTTAGACCCAAATACAGCTTAGTTACTAAGCTTGTTAAATTATAGTGGAATTCTGTGGTATCAACATAGTAATTTATTATTTTTTGGTTATTTAAAATACATACTTTTTTTATACTAATAATACTACTGCACTAAATAATTTTTTTAATCTAATTAAATAATGCACCAAAGAGCAAAAATTTTCTGGCTTTCTAAATATGCGAAAAGAGCCCTTAAAAATTCAGCAAAGCTTGTCATTGTATTTCCTATGGAAATAAAGTTTGAACTGGAAGCAAAGTAGACAATTCTCTGTACAGAAAACAATATAATATGATACATCATTTGATAGATTAATATAGTATTAGATGTCAGCGAGATCTATTGGCAATTTCTGAAAGAAGGATGTGCAGGAGGGTGTGGCAAGAAGGGTCTGATTTTCTATTTATGGCTCTATAACCACATAAAATTGAAGGCTATAAAATTATGCTTTTTCTGAGCAATGACAGCATTATAACGAGTAATATATGTTAAATTTCATACTTCTTGGAGGGGTGGTAAATAGATTAGATAAGAGGAGATACCCAGAGTGCAAATGTCACAATTCTCACACTAGGGGAAATTGAGGATTCTTAAAAAAATATTGTCGTGTAAAAATAATAACTTAAAATTTATATACAATTTGAATTATTGACTACATTTTAATGTCAGGTTTATTTGTGTAACATGAAAAGAAAGTAGTTTAATTAAATTTTGAATGTAACTCACTAAAATATCAGGATGCACACAAAAGAATCTGTTGGGAGAGGGTTAATATCCGTAAGAAATTTTAGTCATGTTTTGCAATCATTTATATATCTTTTAATTATTTTTTTTATATTTTTTTGCCAATTCAACACAATACACACAGCCTAACAAACAGTGGCTTTGCTGGTTAAACAAAACTTGAAGCAGTTGAGTGTAAAATGATCTTACTAAGCTTAACAGTTAACTACTACTTCTTGTTCCATGAAAAATACTTCCTATCTCATAATGCAATATCGTATTTCAATATCATATTTGAAATGAAGTAAGAACTGTGGAAATTCAGGTGTTTTTTTAAAACAAATCATGACTGTACTTATGACATAAACTGTTTACAAACATCTTTTGTTATAGTAACGTGTAACTAATGTAAGCTTTTATTATATTTTCTGATCACTATACAAGTCTTTGCTGAACGAGAAGCCATATTGGTTTATAAATTTGATAAGAATAGAAAAAAAAAGGTTTCATTACGTCTTAAGATCACCAGCCTTATAATTTCTCAAAGTTGAGATATAGGCAATTACATCACACCATGACAACCAACATAGAGAAAGAGTGATCAGTTAAATTGAATTAAACTACACTTGTATTGAAGCTGGAAGGTTCAAATTTGTACTGGTTTGTTTGCAACCATTACTGTTTACTACCTCTAAGGGGCTACGAGTAAAATATTATGCTTTGAAAAAAAAGTCAGAAAATTAATTTCACAAACACTTTTCATTTAAAACATGCTGAAATCAACCTAAAATAAAAATTTGTGATTTGAAGATTTTATGTAAAAAATTGAATAAACTTGAATTCTGAAATATTTAAAAAATGTATAACTAATAAACATTCTTAACATTTTCTTTTAATTCTATGGTGCAATTTTCTCTTGGTCAATGGGTGCACTCTGATAGTTGCCAAAAGGCTTATCGTACATAGAACTAATAAATACTTTTGATGTGGAAATTTGAGAGTAATTTTATTTTTCACAAAATAAACTTTTTTACCTAAAGAGTATACCTGAAGAACAGGTGCATTTATGAATGCTTAAAAATTATTTTTGGTGGCAGGGTCCAATTGTGATAAAACAAACTTTTCAAGAGAAGAACAAAACAAACAAACAAGGACCAGGAAAAGAGGAAGTGTTAAAGAAAAGTGTAAGTATGTTTTAAACCCATCCACAGTGTTCCTGTATTGTCAAAGAAGTATGTTTTAAACCCATCCATAGTGTTCCTGTATTGTCAAAGAAGTATGTTTTAAACCCATCCACAGTGTTCCTGTATTGTCAAAGAAATACATAAGTTGGGTTACTGAAGTATTAAGTAATGTACTAACTAATTAACTGTAATTATTACTACTGCTGCTTTTGTGAAAACACCAAATAATATTGTTTAAAACTAAATCAAGCCTCATCTTTATTGAAAAACTGTTCTAGCATGGTATTAGATTAACAAGCTGATAAGCAGCTATCCATTGTGACCATAAAGTATTAATTTTTAAAGGGCAGTAAGAAATTATAACATTATTACCTTATGAGCTGTTTAGTGCCATTTTTCTACGCTTATATATTTAAGAACCCGTGGAATGCTTTAAAATTGGTATACAATTGTTTTAGGATGAAATGATGAGTGAGCTGTTTAAACACCAAAATACAGAAGAAGCAAGTATTGCATTTAAAGACATCAAAGTTCCCAAAAAGTAAGTTTGAGATGAATTTGATTACTGTAGTAATGTGTAAGTTATCACATTTTAATTATTGGCATAGTTGTCCTCAGTTATCAGTCCTAATAATTGTGTGAAGTATCTATTATGATGAGTTTCAGAATACTGCTGATAAATTGACTATAATGTGATGCATTTATTGGGAGTATTCTGAAACCTTTCATAACTGACACTCTCCATTTGTCAGACTCTAAACTTGTGAAACTTCACATAATCTCATATATAACTAATTTATGATTTAACCTTAAGTTAATCTGAATCTACTAGCTATGAACATTAGAATTATGCACACAGCACAGTTTGCATCCTTTATATTTGGCTGATTTTACACGGTGTTTCGTTTAAAACTATCGAGGTTGGTCTTGTGCTGGGTAAAATATTTATTGGCGATCGCTGCTATTTAAAAAATGCTATAATGGGACTGTTACGAATAACCTGTTCAAAACACTTACGTTGATATTTACTACAATTGTTATTCTTAAAGGTAATCATAAATTATCTAGCTTAAAGATTTAGTCAGTCATTGAAATGAGTATAATTACTACTGAATGCTTCTTCACAATTTTTTACTTAATGCCTAGTGCTTATTTAGGATTCTTTTCTAAATAATAAAGAATTTTTGGGGTTTAAAAGAAACTTGAGTGCTTTAATAATACATTTTCAGTGTTAACAGTGTTTTTGTAGTATTTAATATCTTTAAAAAAGAATGCAGGAGAATCATTCAGAAAATACAAATAGTTTTTTGTTACTATATCAATCTTATGAGCTGTTTTAAAATATTACTGAAAGCTACATATCAATGTATATATTGGTGTATATTTACGGGGTATTCAAAATTAAGCATGTGTAAAACACTGAGTATAGCAATTGTACAGAGTTTAGTGAAATAAGGTAAAGGGAGTTGAGTTCTGGTAACTACACATGTGTGTAAATCCATTGAAACAAATATTAAGAGCTGATTCTTGATTTTATTTTTTATAAGGTTTATCACTTGAGTCCTGGTAACTACACGTATGTGTGTGTGTGTGAATCCATTGAAACAAATATTAAGAGCTGATTCTTGATTTTATTTTTTATAAGGTTTATCACTTGAGTCCTGGTAACTACACGTATGTGTGTGTGTGTGTGTGTGTGTGTATCCATTGAAACAAATATTAAGAGCTGATTCTTGATTTTATTTTTTATAAGGTTTATCGCTGAAGTTTTGTATCAGCTAATGATTAAAACTTTGGAGAAATCCGAAAATGATCGTGAGCTACTGTGTGGTTTTTTTGTTGAACTTAAAAAAACTGGACAACTTAAGAGCTCTGCTTTCTTAGAGGTATGTATTACATTTTAGATTCTCTTTGAATGTGAAAGAGTTCATAGTTTTAAAAAAATGGCAATGCTAAAAATTTTTGAAAGTTCTATTTTTTTTTTGTCAGCAGTGATAGAATCTAATATTCATGATATTTAGTGTTCTGTGTGATGAGAGGATAATGATAATGCTTAACATTTATTCACTTTTCCCATCTATTCAGTTTCCTATGATATTTTACATTTAAGGAAGCAGACTGTAACAGAAAAGTACAATTGTTTATCCTAAATATCTTGACAATCTACATTTGATTCAACTTAATTTAATTTTTTATTGACCTTTGACCCATGTTTAACTGATAATCCTACTACATAAGTTGTAAATAACTCGGCAAACAAGTAGATCACATTACTGCATTCAGTGTCTTAATGCATGAGCTGCTGTAGCGAGCATGCCTCTTGAAAAATGACCTAATAAGTTTCTAATTTCTATATTTTAGTTACTTTATAGCAGTAAATAAAAAATATACAAGAAATATAGTACTTACTTTTGTCCTCTTACGTTTTTGCTCTGATTGGTGATGAAATTTAAGCCTACCTTTTTATAATGATGGTACTACTAATGCACCTAAGAACACAAAATAATATCGAAAACAAAGCAGTGAATGCATTATGACTATTATAATTTAACTGGGTTTCTAACTAAGACAAGAGGAGCTTAAAATAATTCCATCAGCTACTCAATGTGAACATCACGAAATAAACTTTCAAATCTGAAAACAAAACTTGTAATACCTTGCACTGAAAACAATGTAGCATTATACATCATTTGATAGATTAAAACCTTGCCTCTCTATTGGTAATGAACTATATAATACATCAGAGAGAGTTATCAGCAATTTGTGAAAGAAAGGATGTGTTGGGTAGGTTTGACAGGTGGGTCTGATTTTCTAGTTTATGTTTCTGTAAACAAATATGGTTGAAAGATATAAAAATTGAACTTTACCTCAATAATATATATATGTATATTACAATGAGTAATTTGCTTTGAATTCTGTACTTCAGATAGGGGTATTATATATACTACAGATATTGGGAAAGGGGGGGGGGGGGGTAGACCTGAAGAATTCATGTCACAATTCTCATACTAGGGAAGATTGAGGATTTGTTTAAATATTTCCTTATAAAACTAAAATCTTATAAAATGTTCAAATTTGTTTTATTAACTATGTTTTGATACAATGAAAATGAAGTAGTTAAATGAAATTTTGAAAGTAACCCTGTGAAAGGTCATGACAAATACTTGGCGTACCCATAGTGTGAGGGTTAATGATATTACCTAGGTTATATGTTTTATCTAACATTGTAACATTAGAACAGTTTTAGACCAATTGTGTCTAATATTAAGAGTTTAAGGGATAAAAATAAATACATAGTTAAGAATTCATTAGAATTTGTGGAAAAATTAAACAAGTTAACACTAGTTTTAGTGTCTTGATTTTGTTTCATTGTTCAATAAAATATCTGAAAAAAAAACAATTCATTTCAGTTTTAGAAATAATTGGTATGATAAACCATGTTGAAGTAGGTGTAAAAAAAAATTCGTTTTTCAGCTATAGACTGAAGTTAATCAACAGAATGAAGGTTTAGCTCTGGGTTCTCCTGTATTATTATGTGATTTATTCATGGACAGTTTTGAAACTGAAGCATTAAGAAAAGTTTAATATTTCTAGTTTATTTTTTATAGTTTTTTTTGTAAGACAAATTTGTATACATTTTTTAATTCTGAAAACAATATTTTTTCCTTAAGTCAGTGGCTAGTTCATCTGAAATCTGTTATTCACGTATAATGAGATATTTTCAGTGTATGCTTTGTCACAGGCTGTGAATGAAAAGTACCTTTTTTTCATGCAACATAAAATTGTACCTTACAGCTCCTCTACCTGAAATTCTTGGCTGTCACTCCAAGTAGCACACAGTCCTGCTAATTTTACTAAATGCATCCAACTCTGAGATTTCTAGTCATAACAAGGAAATGAATTAGAACTAACATTATAGATACAGGTCACAGTGTGCATTTAAACATTACAACTAACATTGTAGATACAGGTCACAGTGTGCATTTAAACATTAGAACTAACATTGTAGATACAGGTCACAGTGTGCATTTAAACATTAGAACTAACATTATAGATACAGGTCACAGTGTGCATTTAAACATTAGAACTAACATTGTAGATACAGGTCACAGTGTGCATTTAAACATTAGAACTAACATTGTACACACAGGTCACAGTGTGCATTTAAACATTAGAACTAACATTGTAGATACAGGTCACAGTGACATTAAACATTCTCTATGATGGTTTATTGATACACACTGAATTAAGGTCTAGACGTGTGCTTTAAATGTTTTAAGAGAAGTTTGTATACATCCTTATACTTTGGTTTGTGTTATGGAATAGGAAATAAGTAAAAACACTGATATCACAGCCATTAGTATTATTTTTATTTAATTTTGCTTGTACTCAAACAAGACCAGAAAATCTTCCCTAATACACGAATTTTGCAACTAAAACCTTAGAAAAAGGCTTTTGTAGTAAAATATTGGAATGTTTAGGTGAAGGCCTGTAAATTTTTTTTTTTATATAAATATAGTGTTGTAGAAACTATTTGCATAAGAGAAATAAATATTGCAATTAGAAAAAACAATTTTAATTCCTAATGTTCTAGAAACATACTAATATGCCATTAATTTTAATTTTTCTGCTTTTAAATATCACAAGTAGGCTTAGCAAAATTCAGTAAATTTAGATGAACAAGATGGTTGATGTTTGTTTAGTAATTACTTTAAAACTTTTGAACAGGCTCTGAAGTTAGTGTCAGAACAGATTTCAGAATTGGAGGCTGATGTGCCTCGTGTCAAGTCTTATGTTGCAGCATTTGCAGCTCGTGGCATTTCAGATAATCTGGCAACCTTGGGTGAAGTAGCCGAGCCTTTAGAGGGCGGAGCACACTATCCGATGTTTCTGCTTTGTCTTCAGCATCTTCACAAAGTGATGGGACGAAAATGGCTCACTCAGATCTTTAATGAGAGTAAAATTCACCTTCTCTCAATGTTGCGAGGTAGGTTTGATACAAACCAAGACTTGGAAAGTAGAAAGGCAAAATGTTAAAATCCCTAAGTTTTATACAGTTTTCTAAATTTGTGTTATTGATTAGAGATGAATTCTGTGCCCCTTATACTTTTACTATGATGTGATGTGAAAATATAACTTTTCATCTAACTGGTTGAAACTTCTTTTAAAGCTTTGAAACCTATGTAGATTACTCTTTAAAAAACAGAGTAGATTTCGTATACTTCTTTTATGAATACTTGTACATTGCTGTGTGAAGTACAGATTTCTCTGTCATCAGATGGTGTGCTTAACTTATAGAGAGTTAAAAGTCAGTTCTAAGTTTAACATTAACTGTATATGTCTATGCAAGTAATTTACATGTTTATATCCTTTATTTATAATTTTATTTGTTTTTGCATAAAAATTGTAATTTTGCGTGTTCTTTTTAGTACATTAATTTATAAATTTTTCACTTGTTCAGGTTACAAAAAAAAATTCTAGGAGATTGTGTTTTTACACTACCTAAGTCAAGACACTAGGATTTTATTTATTGATGAAACAGTCTTCAACTGTTCATTGAAATGAACTTATGTGGACGTGTGTATAATTTTACATTGCTACTTTAAATGTTGTTTGGTATAATTCCCTTAATTTTTTGTAGAAAGTGATAGAACCAAAGAGCGACTTGCTGATATTCTAGAAGATCGAGGACTGAGTTTCTTGCTGCCTCTACTCAGAATACAGTCAGACTTATGGAAGCAGATACAAGCTGATCCCAGTCCAACAACTTTTTACAAATGGATAAAGGATAATGTTGACTCATCTCAATTCATTGCTCCAGGTTTTATATATGCGTTAGCTTCTTGGTGAGGACATATTGCACATTTGGAGATATATAATAGAAGTATAATGATTAAAAAAATGAGGAAGGGATCTACCTCTGTGTGTGTATATGCTGAAATTCTCCTTTTTTTATTATATAATCAATTGGTGTGAAGAAATTGGGTAATATGTTTTCAATGAATTATCTACTTCTCTCTCTTTCTCAACCACCAACATTCTTGGTGATGTCGCCAGCAGAAAAAATTTGCATTCACTAATGTTTCTATGCAATTTATAATTTCCAGCCTCTTATAATTTTATACCCAAATCAAAGATGTGTGTGTGAAAATTTGGATGGTGGAACAAAGAAATAGGTAGATATATGTAAAAATAACTCCTTCGGTTATTGAAGTCTGTAGTGTTGTAGATAAATGAACAAGGATGAATACAAAGGCAATTAATTTGATTTTTCACCAAATTTTCTGACAAAATCTGTTCATACTATACCACACATTTCCATGTTTTTGCAAATAATCGGTAGTGTTTATGTAGTTTCTTTGGAATTGGTTTAAGACCTCATAGAGTCAAAATTGGTTCATACATTGGTCCAATACTGCATTTATTAAGCTTACGGTTATTGACAAGTAACACAATCGGTACTTTTAAGTGTGGTTGAACCAATATTAAACTTCTACAGGATGGTCTCTCATCACCTAGCCCAAGTGGGTGAAGATTAGTTATCACAAAATAAGAGGGATCATTAATATAAAGCTGTTTGTTCATTCAAGACTTACATTTAAAAAAAAAAAACTTTGTTAAGTATGGTAGAAGGCCAGCACAAATTTGATTAAGCTAGCTTGCAGCTACTGCAGCACATAATTAACAGTAACTAATTGTATCCAGATCCACTGGAACCGAGCTTTATAAGCTTATTTTATAATTTTGTTGTACAAACTAAATTGTGTGTGTGTGTGTTTTTAAACTTTGTGGTAGTAATTGGGAGTAATATATTATACTGAGCAATAGTAGAAGAAACTTCATTTGAAGATTTGAAATTAACAGTAATATCAAGTAGATATATTGTATATTGAGCTGATAATGAAAATGTTCTAGAAAATTTTAAGTTTTTAAAACTGAATTTTCTCATTTGGAATTTTTTTATTAATGAACTTGAAGTGTATATATATATTTTTTTATTGATAGATTGGTAAAATTATCAATTGTTATAATAGAATATAAATAGATTACAATATATGAAAGTATTTGATTAGCCCAAAATTTATTGTTGTAGTTTAACAAGTTCTATCATCTTTGCAGTTTAATCAAGTTCATCACCATGGAAACAACGTTAAGTGATGACACTGATAATAACTCTCCTCCTGAGAAAGTGACGGTTGAACAAGAGAAAGAACTGCTTGAAAAATTTAAGGTTGGATAATTTTCAGATATTGTTCTTTACTTCTTGAAAGGTCTATTTAACAGTGTAACATAAAACTTTAGCACCAAATCAAATTGCTAATAGAGAGGGCCTATTGATTAACAAGGGTGGCATTGAGTCCAAGGTTTATGCCACTACATGATGCTGAACACGCTCCACGTCTTTGGCTCTGAGGGTATTACATCTGTAACAGTCAATTGATCCTTTTTAGTTGAGAGTAGTTGTTTAGGCAGAAACTTGCTAGCTGTTTGCCCTTCTGGTCATAAGTTCAAAGTTAACTATGGTCTTTGACCTTCCCACTTATTCATGTACCAAGTATGGTACTGTTCATGTTTAAAAAATACAACTAATAAACATTTTCTATTGTTAAATCCTGTAAGCATGTAATTTTTTGATAAACACTTTACTTTGGTAATTAACTTCATGATTCAGGCTTTTTTATAACTTAAGACTGTATAATTTGTTAAGTTAAATATTTAACCTCAAAATTCATCTTTTCTGTTACTTAAAGCAGTGTATACATTTAATAATTAATCACGAAACTAAATGTTGCTTTGTTGATTCTATTTTCTTTATGAACTGTGAAGATTATGAATATATTTTAGGTTAACAGCCTTTTTTTTTTCTTGTAGCCGGTTTTTGATGCTTTCTTGACTGAAAATACCTCCCTGCAGTTGGTGGTTTTGTATGCCTTGCAGGTGTACTGCTTCAACCAAAGTTTTCCAAAAGGTAAGGATTTAATATTAACTTTAATTAAATGGACTTGTTAAAGTTCTTAACAAAAACTGTTATAAAAAGTTTGTCAGTTTTCCATTCTGTTACTTGTATAATGTATAAATGAAATAAAATATTTTCTTAGGTTATCATACAATGAAAAAAATCAAAATGAAAACACAATACTTTCAGATGTAGAGGGTTGTTCTAATAAAAGTTTTAAGATAATAGTTATATCTTTTGTTTCTTAGTCCTATCTGGACTGGAGAGCATATTTCAGGTTTCAAAAACACACCAGTATATTCACTTTCAGAATTTAACCAATAATAATAATAACTAACTTTATTTTGGCATTTTTTAGTGTAATTGACAAAAATATTTCCACTTCCATTTCTGCATAGTTACTCTGATGTACCTTGCTTGTAAACAACACTTAAAATTCTGCTTATCCCAAAGTGTGAGCTTGTATTTGATAAGAAAATATCATCCTTTAAGAATATGCTTATTCGTGTCTTTTTTTTTTTCTTGGGTGAGTTTCATTTTTGTTAAAGATATTATTACTGTAGCCTTTGTTGCAAATTTTTTATAATGTTGCAGTGCGTGGTCTGAAAAAGTACTAATGAAGCTAAGCCAAATTGCCACAGGTATCCTTTACTGCACATTCACAAGGTTTTAGTGACTTACATTCAGAATTTTATTAATTTACTTTTTTGTTTATGTTATACCAATTAGTATAGCATAAAATCTCAGCTAATAATCCATACTTTAAAAGTATACAAGTTTTAAGTTCTTAATTCTACAAGGAAATATATAAAAAGATCCTGAATTTCTCTTAGTGTGAGAAATTTTGTGTAGGCATCTCCTCTTCTCTATTTTATCCACCACCCCTCCAATAAGTACGAAATTCAACGTAAATTACTAACTATAAAATTGTCATCGCTCAGACAAAACATAATTATTTTAGCATTCAATCTTGTTTGGTTACAGAGCCATCAAATAGAAAATCAGACCCATCTTGTCACATCCTCTCTTTCAGGATTTATTAACAGTTCTTTCTTAGGTTTAATTTATATTATTTATAACCAATACAAAGCCAAGGTTTTTATCTGTCAAGTGATGTATTATATTACATTGTTTTCTGAATGGATAATTGTCAGTTTCACTGTTAGTACAAGCTTTGTTCCCATGGGAAAGATAATGACTAGTTTGGATGAGAGCTGTTACAAAATTAGAAAGCCAGAAAAGTTCTGAAAGTTAGGGGAAATTGTCTACTTTTTGCATGTTATTATTCTGTGTTCTTTGCAT